ACCCTAAAGGTGTCGGGCTCATACATGTATAGCATGAGTGTACCTATTTAGTTACATATACAGATATAAACATTCTTGTTTCTCTCTCTCACTCTCTGTACCTCTCCAAAGAACGGGAGGGACAGAAAGCAAGTGGAAGCAAATCCATGTTGCTTGAAATTCGTAACCGCGCTTCAGCTGGTAATGAGAATCTTGCGAAGGTAAGCATTCAGGGGAAAGTGCGCAGAAGCTTTTACGACATCTCCAATAAACAGGCTCAAATAATGATGCACCCCACAAAACCCAAACTGCACAAATCAAAGGTAAAACATGGTAACATAGTAAAAATAAAGCTGACACGGCCAACTACACACCACGCATACGTACATACATACGTAAGTACGAACATGCACAAACAAACATGCAAACAAAGGAACACGAACAATCGAACAAACCAGAAACCAAGAAGACACGCATGCATGCATGTGTTTATGCGTGTATGTATGTATGTACGTATGTCGGCGTTTGTATGAATGTATGCACATGTATACATGTATAATATACGCAACTGTTGTTTCGAAGATGCGGTATGATACTATACTACCTTTGCATCCTACCCGGCGCAAAACTGTACTATGATGCTATCCTATACTGTTCTGTACTACACTAACCTATATTATATGACACGATATACAGCATCACTATCACAAGCGGTGACACTTTTCTCATCACACCTGCGGCTCAGTGAATGCGCTTCAGCTGANNCTGGTCCATGAGCATCGTTCCAATGGTCCACATCAAACCACCAGCATGCCATATCCCACCTCGGGCGGGAAGGGCGGGGGCCTTGAGCAACCAAACTTCATCGGCGACAGCGTTTCAGCTATGCCTTCTATCTTCCCGTGCACGCACTACCACGGCTCAGTGAATGCGCTTCAGCTGAACGAGACTGCACAAGGGGGAAGCTGGTCCATGAGCATCGTTCCAATGGACCACATCAAACCACCAGCATGCCACATCCCAAAGCAGTCCGAAAAGAAATGTTCACACAGGGTGGGTCAGTAATGGGTGGGACAGGTCAGACAGAAGGCAAGCTGCTTGCAAAGCGCTTTTGGACAGGGCTGCGCAATACGAGTCCAAGGGATACCTTGTGGATTGCTGCCAGTCAAGTGAAAGTGCCTTCGATTACTGCGACTGCAGACTGGGCCTTCGCACTGAGGTTGGAGTCGAGAAATGTCCTCAGCATCGAGATTGCCGCACAGGAACAATGTGCGCTTGCGCCAAGGTGTGTTGCATTGGCAGAAATCTGTAACTGCATAGACAACATCGGGATCTGAAAGCAGGTTTTGCAAGAAAGGCAAGCGCCAGCACTTGACGAATGAGGATTTTCCAGAATCCAGGGAATACGAGCCTTGTTCAAGAGTTTGATGAGCTTGAAAACAGTCTTAAAGCATTTGTTACCAATTGCAATCTGCTCCTGCTCTGCTTCAGTGAGAAGGCTGCTGTCAATCCCCCAAGGCTGCTCTCTGGTTCTGATAACTTTGGTTCGATCTCTTGTGACCGAAAAATAGGTACATGGAGGCGCAAACATCACGGCGACAACCTTGCCAGCACGAATGTCTTGGCAAAGCTGGCGGATAACTGTTTTTGACGTGAGATCACCCGAAGGGCCGTGAATGATGTCATACTCCTTGCACCGGTATCCCAAAAACCGGCATTGCTCTGCAACGCCGCCACTGCCTGAGAAAAGGTCAGCTACATAGCGCCCTAGGGCGCCGCCCCAACATCACATCCTCGAGCAGTGACTCGGCGTCCAGACAGCGCCGCTGGAGCTTGCTCGGCAGCTGGCAGAA